TCATTAACAACTTGTGATATGAAGATGACACAGCTTTGATTGCTGAAAGCAAAGAGGACTTGAAGCATTTACTAAAGAAGATCAAAGACTACAGTCATCAGCATGGATTACACCTCAACATAAAGAGAACAAAAATCCTCATAACTCGACCGATAAGCAACATCGTGATAAATGCAGAAAATACTGAAGTTGTCAAAGGTTTCATGTTACTTGGATCCACACTCAATGGTTATGGAAGCAGTAGTCAAGAATTCAAATCATGTATTGCATTGGACAAATCTGCTGCAGATCTCTTTAAAGCATTAAAAAAAAATAAAAAAGATGTCACTTTGAAGACTAAAGTGCACTGGATCCAAGCCATGGTATTTTCCATCACCTCAAGGACAAGTGAAAGCTGGACAATGAATAAGGAAGACTGAAGAAGAATTGATGCCTTTGAATTACAGTGTTGGTGAAGAATATTGAATGGACCTCCAGAAGAATGAACAAATGTACCTTGGAAGAAGTACAGCCGGAATGCTCTTTAAGAGTGAGGATGACGAGATTTTGTCTCAAGGACCTTGGAAACGTTCTCAGGAGGGACTAGTCCCTGGGGAGGGATATCATGTTCGGTAAAGTAGAAAGCAAACAAGAGGAGGGCCCTCAATAACGTGGATCAACACAGTGGCTGCAGCAATGGTCTTGAACGTATCAGGGATTGTGAAGATGGCACAGACTGGGCAGTGGTTTCTTCTGTTTACGAAGCAGTGCCGTGACTCAGAACTGACTCAATGGCATCCAACACAAACGACAACCTTCTATTATATACTATAAAGTTCATAGCATTTTTCAGGCTGCTTTGATTTCTAGCAGTTTGATTATAATGCACCATGGTATGTTTATGTTTATACTGGTTTTCATTGGTTTTGGGAAAAAAAAAAAATTTTAATTGTGATTTGGGTGCAAATTTACAGAACAGATTCATTTTACTCTCAATGGTTCAAGCACATTTGGTTTCACAGCCCAAATGCAATCCCAACAATAAAGCACCCTTCTCCCATCTCCTCCCTGTGATCACCCCTCCTCCATGCCCTTCTTATGTATGCATTCCTGTCTGTCCTGTTTCCTCTACTCAAATACTGCCCTTCTGATGTTCATGGTTGATTGATCCAAGGGGTGCATCTCCCTAGGGTAGGTGTTCTGCTTGAGGGCTTTTCTGCTGTTTGGCTGAGAGCTAATCCACAGAAGTAAGCCCAGTTCCAGGCCCGAAGGATAACTCAGGGCCATAGTCTTGGGGTTCCACCATTCTCCATCTGACGAGCAATTCTGGTCATTTCTTTGTTTTTGAATTTTGTTCTACACTTTTCCTCCCACTCTATCCAGGATCTCCAATTTTGATCCTGTTCCAAGCAGTTGGCATGGTTAGCCGGGTACTATCTAGTTCTTCTGGTCTCAGGGTCATGAAGGCTGAGGTCCCCATGGTCTATAATATCCTTGGACTAATTGCTTCCATATGACTTTGATTTGCTTCACTCTTCTTTGCTCCAGACAAGGGGAGGGAGACCAATAGTTGCATCTTAGATGGCTGCTCCAAAGCTTTTAAGACCTAGTCATCACTCACCAAAGCAGGATGTAGAACAAGATTTTTATGTACTATATTGTGCCAATGAGCTTGATGTCCCCCAAGATCATGGTCCTGACCCTGCAGGCCTGGTGACTCTCTCCCTCATGGTGTTTGGTTGTCAATGAGAAGCTGCTCCAACCTTTTCCCCTGTTAGTTCTGTAATAGATATGAGTATTTTTGTTTTGCAAATACGTATGCAAGAACATCTTCAACCAAACTATCCTACCAATATGGCAGCATTGAGGATGAGAAAGACATAGAGAGGTACATGGGCAGTACAGACAACAAATATGAACCCTTTTGCATATACAGTACTGAGTTGTCAGTGAA